TTTCTTTCTTTGCATGGATCACAACGGCAAATACATGTTGAGCTAATTATTCACATTCTCTAGTAGACTGTGTAAAGAAGGTACTTTTGAGTAGGCTCCTTTGTCAATTTTGACTCTGCCAGATTCCCAGCAGGGGACCTAGTAAGAGGCAAGGTCCTGGGCCAGGGAAGGAGAGGACACAGAGATGAAGGTGTCACGGCCACTAGTGAGGAGGGGTAGCCTGGAGGAAAGCTATAAATTCAGGAGTGTCCAGAATATTATAGGGACTCTTGTTGTGGAGGGTCCTGTGTTTTAATGGATGAAAAGAGGTTCAGTTGAGAAGGGGAAGTAAAGAGAGGGCAGAATAAGGCACAGAGAGTGCAGGCAAAGAGAGTGCGGAATAAGGCTTCTTTCGCCTAGAATTGCCTAAGGACCCAGCAAGCCAGAATGGCAAATGGCCTTTCCACGTATTAGTTTCGTTATTTCCCAGTAATAAGCCTGTAAATGTGGGCACCAGAATGTAAGACCCACTTGTTCAGGGGCTTGGTCTCTTTCAATCATTGCTATATTCCTGGCTTGTACCAAGTGCCAGGTAGCATGTTGGTGGGTGCTCTATAAATGTTTATGGCGTGAATAAGGTAGGTGGGCACTCTTTACTTCCATTTTACAAATGAGAAAATACACAAGAAGTGACACAGTTTGTATAGCCTGTGAGTACCGAAGTCAGAATTTTAAGAAAATATGGGATTATGTGTTTTTTGCTGATGGGGATGAAAAAGCTCTTTTAAGGCATAACATGTAAGTTAGTTATAAAAGAAACAATTGATAGATTTGAGTATGAAAATATTTTAAAAATTAATTTTCCAAAAATATCATAAACAAGGTTGAAATAAAATATTAGAGTATCTAAAGTTATTTAATATAATTAGAAAATAATGTTGATAACCTTAATATATAAAAAGCCCTTATAAAACAACAGAAAAAGTAAATGCTCCAATAGAAAAATGAACAGATACCATGAAAAGGCAGTTCACGAGCCGGGCTCGGTGGCTCAGCCTGTAATCCCGCGCCTTTGGGAGACTGAGGTGAGTGGATTGCCTGAGCCTGCGGGTTCGAGACCTGCCTGGGCAGCGAGACCTCATCTCTACAATAAATAAAAAAATCAGCCGGGCGTGGTAGTGCATGCCTGTAATTCCAGCTACTTGAAAGGCTGAGGCGAAAGGATCGCCAGAGCCCAGCAGGTCGAGGCTGCGGTGGCCGGGAGCGGCCACTGCACTCCAGTCTGGGCGACAGAGTGAGACTCCAACTCAAAAAAAAAAAGAAGAAAGAAAAGGCAGTTCACAAAAACTAAATAAAAGTAACCAAATGAAATACATAAATATATGCACAAAATATATAATCTCTTCACACAAAATAAAAATGTGTGTATAAACAGTACTATGTTATTTTGGATAGAGACTGACAAAATACAACATTGGTCAAGATCTGAGGAAGCAGGTACTCTCACACAAGATTACAAGAATATAAATTGCAAGAATATAAATTGATACAGTCTTGCTGGAAAGCAGTCTAACAATATATTATAAAATGCAAAATAAGTCTACTCTTTGATTCAGGATTTTAGTTATCCTAAAAGGATAATAAAACAATTATATCAAAAATTTTTTACAAGTAATTTTCACAGCATTCTTTTTCATATAATGAAAATTTGGGAGGAATTGACAAGTTTATCAATAAGAGATTAGTTAAAATTATTATACACAAGGGGAGTCCCCCCCAAACCGGAATTGTCTTTTGGAGGACGGGCCCCTTGTAATACAGGCTTTCCCTGCTGGGTAAGTGTTCTAGGAACCCATTGGCACCAGCGTACCAGCTAGGGTTGTTACGAGAGTCTATGTTTGGCTTTAGGGAATTTTGTTTGTTTGTTTTTTAGATTCTTTCAAGGCACTTGCCCAATTCATGGGGAGTGATTTGTGAATGTACCTGCCCACACCACACTGAGTGTTCAGCAGTTTTTGACCCAAAATAGCATGATCCCATGGCCCACCCTCCCTATTCACCCATTCTCGCCACAAGCAACTTTTTTTGGTTTCCCTGGATGAGAAAAGTCCTCAGAGGGAAACGTTTTGCCAATTTGGAAGAGGTCAAATAAAAAACGGCAGAAGGACTGAAAGGCATCAGAATTGACAAGTTCAAAAACTTTTGAGCAGTGGAAAAAAACATCTCAATAGGCGTATTGCATGAAATGAAGAGTACTTTAAAGGTGACTGAAGTTTAAGACTAAATACACAATTTTCTATAAATAAATTCTGGGTTTTTGGGGGTCCCCTCTTGTATCTATAAAATGGATTTCTGTATAGTCATTACTTAGAATGATACACAGTAGGAGCTGGCAAACTATGACTTAAAGACCAAGTTTAGACAACTGCCTGGTCTTGTTGATGAGTTTTTATTGAAGCACAGCCACACCCATTAATTTATGTATGGTCTATGCATGAAGTAGCTTGTGTATGCTAGCTGCCCTGGCTGCTTTCATGCTACAATGGCAGAATGGAGTAGCTGTAACAGACCAAATGGTCCAGAGGCCTGAAATATTCATTATCTTTCCCTTTACAGTTTCCTGACTTCTGATGTGTAGCTGTATGCATTGATGTGGAAAGCTCTCTGTAACAAATTACTGAGTGAAAAAAGCAGGGAACAAAATAACCCCTTGTACAGTGTAATCCCTGTTATATAAATTCATGCATTGATGAGAGGGGATAAAAACACCTTAAAGGATGTATTTTTAAGAGTGATGTCTTCAATTAGGTTCACCAGAATATTCTGGGTTACCTGTAAATTGTGAGATTTTGGATCATTTTTTTCTCAACCTCTTTATATTTTCCTGTAATTCTTATGTTTCTAAAGAAAACCAAGTTCTTAATTTAAAACCAGTTTTAAATTGAGAAATAAACTTGAGAAATGATTCTATAAAGTGAATAAATGACTGATATCCTTATTATAGAGTTTATATAATTGCTTTTGGAAAAGAAACATAACTTGAACTGATAACTCACAAAAGAGGAAATAGAGCTACTAAACAGACATAGAGGAACTGTTACAGCCTCGCAAATAATGCATATTGAAAGGGATTTGTCTTTTAAATAGCAAACTGTATGCCTATTCCATACTGGTTGGGGATTCAGTGACTCTTCTTCCATAAATTGCTGGTGGCCATATTAATAATTTTGGAAAATAATTTGACAACATTTTAATACCTTTTAATATACAACTTGAATGTATGAACCTTTAATGTATACCTTGAAACAGTAATCTCACATTTAGTAATATATACTTCCACAGAAGTAATCTTCAATTTATGAAAGACTATATATACCAACTTGTTTAAATAGTGTAAAATGTCTTTGACTTAGAGCTAAATGGAATTGAGCATAAAAATCTCAAAAATGCTATATTTACCACAGTGGCAAAAATCTCTACAGAACAATACCAAGTGCTGATGAGGTTGTAGAATGCCTGGCATTCTCTTGTTTTCTTTACTGGCAGGAGTGCAAAGCAACAGCTCTGGGAAACAGTTTTTTTAGTTTCTTACAAAGTTACACATATACACAGCATATGCTTTGCAACAATTCCATCCCTACCTACTTACCACTGAGAAATGGAAACTTTTGTTTATACATAAGAGTATACATGAATATTTATAGCAGTTTATTCATAATTATCAAAAACTGGAAACAACCTACATATTCTTCAGTAGGTGAAAAGACAAATTGGAGTATATATGTGCAACGGAGTACCACTCAGTAACAAAAAGAGCTGAACTATTGAAACACAACAACTTGGATAAATCTTAGACGTTATGCTAAGTGAAAGAAAGCATTCTCAAAAGATCACGTGCAGTGTTATTCCATGTATATGTCCTTGAAAAGATAAACTAAAGAACAGAGAGCAGATAAGTGGTCGCCAGGTGTTGGAGTGGGGGAGAGCGTAACTATAAAGGAGCTTTGTGTTTTTTTGTTTTTGTTTTTGGCATAACGGACTGTTCTGTATCCTAACTGTGATGGTGGTTATATAAGCCTATACACATATTATAATTCATTGAACTATACACACACACACACACAAAAAACACAGTAAACTTTATGTTGATTAAAAAAATAAAATAATAAACCTGTATATTAAAAAAAACTAGAAGATAGTGCACTAAAATTATCATATTGTTTGTTTGAGGTGATGGTTTTATGAGAGATTTTCTTTCTTGTTTTCTCAATTTTACATGAACCAAATATTTCTATAACTAAAGTAATATACTTATATACAAGCCTATCAAAGAACTCTGAAATCATAATAGTGTATGAAGTTTGGGAAGGGAACAAATAGCCCTGAATACTGCAATAATATCAGAAGACTGTGCATCTTGGGTCATTGGGCCAGTTCAAACTGTATCTATGAAATTAGTTTCTGTTTAACGAAATTAGTAAAGCATGCAGTTCACTTAGGGAAGTAGAAGTAACCATGAAATTTTTGCTTCGTTAAAGACTCTTTTATTTGGAAAATCTACTTTTGTAGAATCCTCCACTCACCTTTGATGCCAAATAAATTAGATTATGTATTGAGGCAAGTATACATCATTATCTCATATCACCCCAGGTATACATGCATTATCTCATTTGTTCTTCAGTCTCACCACCTACTCCACCAGAAGGTAAAAATGGTTAGTGTATACATTTCAGTTTGCGTAGAGGAAACTGGAGCTACAGAAACACCAGCTTAAACATGGGGCAATAAAAATGCCATTTACTTTAACTTTTCTCCCTGAATACAGGTTATACCTTTTTTGTTGCTTGCCAGTAATAACATTAAAGATAATATGATCGTATCTCTTCTCGTGGGAATTTCCTAGACATCGTTAGAAATGAAATACATGTTGTATGCCTTAGGAAAAAAAGTATTTGTTTTCTTATTGAGAATTCAAACTGCTTTGGCTGTAATAGAATTCTCCCATCTGTTTGGTTTTTCAGGATCTTATATTGCACATTGATTCTGCCTCTGCATTACCTCGAACCTTTCTTTTCGTACATCTTCCTCAACTTCCAGCTCATACTCTTACAGATCCTTCACCTTTACTGGGGTTATTTCATCCTGAAGATGCTCAAAAGATGTATATTCACGAAGGTAAGGGCTGTCCAAATATTATTGCTTTTGGCAAGTGAACTTTATTGCTGGATTAAAGGCTCAGATGGTCAGATGTTCAGTAAATTCATAGTTTTAAACAGAATTCTTTAATTTAACCGTTATTGAAAAACATTCTCTAAAATGGGGCTAGATTTTTCATAAGTGGGTCTCTAAGGTGTTTTTCAGAAATTGCTTTTATTTGAGGATATGTCATCTTGAAATGTTTTAGTTCAAAGATTGAATGCTGTTTTTGTAATGTTTGAAACAGTTTTAACTTTTACCTATTTGTTTAGTGATTCATAATATTTGTACATATTTATGGAGCACGTGTGATATTTCATTACATGCACAGAATATATAATGGTCACGTCAGGGCATCCTTCACCTTGAGTATTTATCATTTCTGTGTTGGAAACATTTCACATCTTCTCTTCTAGCTGTTTTGAAATATAATAATACATCGTTGTTATCTATAATTAGACTACTCTGCTATAAAACAGTAGAAATTATTCCTTTGATCAAACTGTAAGTTTGTACCTCTCTTCATTCTATCCCTCCCACCCACACACCTTCCCAGCATCTGGCATCTGTCATTCTACTTTTATCTGAGATCCATTTTTTTTTTAACTCCCATGTATGAGTGATTCCATGTGAAATTTGTTTTCTGTGCCTGGCTTATTTCACTTAACATAATGATCTCCAGTTCTATCCATGTTGCTACAAATGACATAGTTTCATTATTTCTTATGGCCAGATATTACACTGTGTACATATACCATGATAGACATATAGGTTGATTCCTTATCTTTGCTATTGTGAGTAGTGCTATGATAAACATGGGGGTGCCGGCATTCCTTTGATATACTGATTTCTTTTCCTTTGGATAAATACCCAATAGAGGGATTGCTGGATCTTATGTTAGTTCTATTTTTAGTTTTATGAGAAATCTCCTTACTGTTTTCCATAGTGGTTGTATTAATTTACATTCCCACCAATAGCGTGTAAGAGTTCCCTTTTCTTCACACCCTTGCCAGCATTGGTTACTTTTTGTCTTTTTCATAATAGTTATTTGAACGGGGACAAGAGGATGTCTCACTGTGATTTTAACTTGTATTTCCCTGATAGTTATTGATGTTGACCATTTTTTTCACATATATACCTGCTGGATATTTGTATGTTTTCTTTGGAGAAATGTCTATTCATGTCCTTTGCCCACTTTTTAATGGGATTATTATTATTATTATTTGCTGTTGAGTTGTTTGGGTTCCTTGTAAATTCTGCATATGAATCCCTTGCCAGATGAATTGTCTGCACATATTTTCTCCTATTCAACAGGTTGTCTCTTCACTCTATCGTTTCCTTTACTGTGCAGTAGACTTTTAGTTTAATATAGTTCCATTTTTCCATTTTTGTTTTTGTTCCCTGTGCTTTTGAGTTCTTAGCCATAAAATCTTTGCCTCAAGCAATGTTCGCAGTCATTTACTTTATGTTAAAGGGGACCCCCAAAACTCGGACTTTATATCAAATTATTTATTTATTCTTACATGTTTAAACTCATCGTCTTCAAAGTATTCTGTTTTATGCAGTACACCTATCGAGACACTTTTTCCACTTCTCAAAACAGTTTTAAACTCATCAATTTTGATGCCTTTTAGTGCTTCTTCCATTTTTTGTTTGTTTGTTTGACCTCTTCCACATTGGCAAAACGCTTCCCTTTGAGGACATTTTTCATGCACGGAAACAAAAAAAAGTCACTTGGGGTGAGATCGAATGAATAGTGGGGTGGGGCACGGGTATCATGCTGTTTTGAGTCAAAAACTGCTGAATACTCAGTGTTGTGTGGGCAGGTGCACTCATAAATCACCCATCATGAGAAGAGCAGACGTGTAGCCTCTCACAACAATGCTGGCTGGTATATTGATGCTGATGGGTTCCTAGAATACTCACTTAGCAGGGGAAGTTTGTACTCTAAGGGACCCACCCTCCAAAAAGTAATTTGTGTTTTTGGAGAGTCACTCACTATGTTTTCTTCTAGTAGTTCTATAGTTTCTGGTCTTGCATTTAAGTTTTTAATTCATTTGAGTTGACTTTTGTATATGATGAGAGATGGGGGTCTGGTTTCAATCTTCTACATTTGAATATCCAATTTTCCCAGGACCATTTGTTGAAGAGGGTATCCCTTCCCCAGTGTATGCTCTTGGCACCTTTGTTAAAAATCAGTTGGCTATAAATATGAAGAATTATTTCTGGGTTCTATATTCTGTTCCATTTGTCTATGTATCTGTTTTAATAGTAATACCATGCTGTTTTGGTTACTATAACCTTGTAATATATTTTGAAGTCCAGGAGTGTGGATGCCTCTAGTTTTGTTCTTTTTTTTCCTCAAGATTTCTTTGGCTATTTGGGTTCTTTATTGTTTCATGTGAATTTTAGGATTTTTTTTCTATTTCTATGAAAAATGACATTTGTATTTGGTAGGGTTTACATTGAATCTGGTTTTGTTTTTTTGTTTTATTTTGTTTTTGAGTCAGAATCTTACTCTGTCGCCCAGACTGGAGTGCAGTGGCACGCTGCTCACGGCCACTGCAGCCTCAACTTGCTGGGCTTAGGTGATCCTTCTGCCTCAGCCTTCCAAGTAGCTGGAACAACAGGCATGCACCACCACACCCAACTAATTTTTTTATTTATTGTAGAGATGAAGTCTCACCATGTTGCCCAGGCTGGTCTCGAACCTGTAGGCTCAGTCAATCCTCTCACCTCCCAAAGTGCTGATATTATAGGTGTGAACCACTGCTCCTGGCTACATTGAATCTGAAGATTTCTTTGAGTAGTATAGTCATTTTAATAATATTAATTTGCCCAATCTGTGAGCATAGAATGACTTTCCATTTGTTTGTATCCTCTTTCATTTATTTCATCAATGTTTTGTAATATTCTTTGTAGAGGTTTTACCTCCTTGGTTAAATTTATTCCTTGGTAATTTTTTTGTAGCTACTGTAAATGCGATTACTTTTAAAATTTCTTTCTCAGCAAGTTCATTGTTGGTGTATAGAAACACTACTGATTCTTATATGTTGATTTTGTTTCCTGCAACTTTACTGAATTTGTTTATCAGCTCTAAGAGTTTTTTGGTTGAGTCTTTAGGTTTTTCTGGATATAAGATAATATTCTCTGAAAAGAGGGATGCTTTGATTTTTTTTTTATTTGGATGCTTTTTATTTCTTTGTCTTGCCTCATTGCTCTGGCTAGGACATCCAGTACTATGTTGAATAGCAGTGATGAAAGTGGGCATTCTAGTTCTTAGAGGAAAGGCTCTCAGCTTTTCCCCATTTATAACATTCTTTGTAATGTTAGCTGTGGCCTTGCCATGTATGGCTTTTATCATATTGAAGTTTGTTCCTTCTATGTCTAGTTTGTTAAGAGTTTTGATCATAAATGAATGCTGGATTTTATCAAATGCTTTTTATGTGTCTATTTGAGATGATTATATGGTTTTTGTTCCTTATTCTTCTGATGCAAAGTATTGTGTTTATGGTTTGTGTATATTGAACCATCTACCTCCCCGAGATAAATCTTACTTGATCATGGTGTATTATCTTTTTGATATATTGTTAGTTTGATTTGCTAATGTTTTGTTGAGAATCTGTGTTCATGTTCATAGGAATATTGAGTCATAGCTTTCTTTCTTTCTTTTTTTTTCTTGTATCCTTGTCTGGTTTTGATATAAGGGTAATGTCTGGTTTTGATATAAGGGTAACACTGGCCTTGTAGAATGAGTTAGGAAGAGTTCCCTCCTTTTTAATTTTTTGAAATAGTTTGAGGAGGACTAGTGTTAGTTTTTCTTTGTAAGTTTGATAGAATTTGTCAATGAAGCCATCCAGTTCTGGGATTTTATTTTTTTGGGAGACTTTTTAAAAATTGCTAATTCATTCGTATTATTAGTCTCTTCAGGTTTTCTGTTTCTTCCTGATTTAATCTTGATAGGTTGCATGTGTCTAGGTATCCGTAAATTTCCTGTAGGTTTTCTAGTTTCTTGGTGTATAGTTGTTTATAATAGTCTCTGATGATCTTTTATATTTCTATGATATCAATTGTGGTGTCTCTTTTTTGTTATTGATTTTATTTATTTGGGTCTTGTGTCTCTTTATCTTGGTTAGTCTAGCTAGTAATTTATTGATTTTATTTATTTTTTCAAAAACCCAACTTTTCATTTTGTTGATCCTTTGTATCGTTTTTAGTCTATTTTGCTTAGTTCTGCTCTGGTCTTTATTATTTTATTCTATTAACTTTGTGTTTCATTGGTTCTTGCTTTTCTAGTTCCTTGAGGTAAATTGTTAGATTATTTATTTCAAATCTTTTTACTTTTTTGATCTAGGTGTTTATTGTTATAAACTTCCCTCTTAGCACTGACTTTGGTGTATTCCATGGGGATTGATATGTTGTGTTTCTATTTTCATTTATTTCAGGACATTTGAAAAAATTTCCTTTAATTTCTTCTTTGACCCAATGGTCATTCAGATGCATGTTGTTTAATTTCCATGTAAATACCTTTGTACATTTTCCAAAGTGCCTCTTGTTATTGATTTCTAGTTTTAGTCCATAATGGACGGAAAAGATACTTGATATGATTTTAACTCTTACAATTTTTTTGTGACTGCTTTTGTGTCCTAACATATGGTCTATTCTGGAGACTCTTCCATGTGCTGATGAGAAGAATGTGTATTTGATAGGCATTTGGGAAATGTTCTGTAAATATCTTTTAGACTCATTTGGTCTAAAGTGCAGTTTAAATCCAGTACTTTTAGTTAATTTTCTATGTAGACAATCTTTCTAATGCTGATAATGAGGTGTTGAAGTCCCCAACTATTATTGTATTGGAATCTATCTCTCTCTAAGAGCTAATTATATTTGCTTTATGGATCTGAGTGCTCTAGTGATGGGTACATATATGTTTAAAATTGTTATAGCCTCTTACTGAATTGATTCCTTTATCATGCATA